AAACAGGGCTGTGAGTAAACAACAAACAGTGCTGTGAGTAAACAACAAACAGGGCTGTGAGTAAACAACAAACAGTGCTGTGAGTAAACAACAAACAGGGCTGTGAGTAAACAACAAACAGTGCTGTGAGTAAACAACAAACAGGGCTGTGAGTAAACAACAAACAGTGCTGTGAGTAAACAACAAACAGGGCTGTGAGTAAACAACAAACAGTGCTGTGAGTAAACAACAAACAGGGCTGTGAGTAAACAACAAACAGTGCTGTGAGTAAACAACAAACAGGGCTGTGAGTAAACAACAAACAGTGCTGTGAGTAAACAACAAACAGGGCTGTGAGTAAACAACAAACAGTGCTGTGAGTAAACAACAAACAGGGCTGTGAGTAAACAACAAACAGTGCTGTGAGTAAACAACAAACAGGGCTGTGAGTAAACAAGTCTTTGATGTAAATTAAAACCAGGACCTGTTGGTTTTGGTTCTTGTTGGTCATGATGTTATGGAATCAGTCCTAAATGGTACCGGTACCAAACTGGTTCTGACCCAGTTCTGGTCTGAGTTGTTGATCAGTTGTTTTTGATCTAACTGTAACTTGATGTATTTCCTGTGGAACGATGATCTGACTGATGTGATTAGTGGTGGAGTTCCTCAGGGTTGTGTATTCAGACCTGATCTGGTCCTGGTGTGGAGGGTTTCTGATGTTTGTTTATTTGTTTGTTTGTTGATGGTGCAACACTTGTTTATTGTGGTGAAAACATTYAACATGTTGGAGACACAGTTTATAAAACACAAACGTGGTTTCATCTGAACAAGTTCTCATTAAATTAAATATTTAGAACACTGAAGCTCCACTCGTCAGTGACATCACATGTTTGTGTGTCGTTAACGACACTGACATGGAGACCATCTATAATGTAAACAGTGTTGTTGTTGTTGTTCCATTCAGTGAAATAAACAAACCTTTGTTTGTTCCATCAGATCGGGACATGGGGGCTCGCCATCGGGCCCGAGCCCACTCCATCCAGATCATGAAGGTCCAGGTCATCGCCGCCAACAAGTGCCGCCGCCCGGCCATCAAGCAGTTCCACGTGAGTGTGCACGTCACAGTGGGCGGGGCTCTCTCCGGGCCGCAGGCTCCTCCCTCGGCTCCGGATCAAACACCCGCCAGAACATCAGCCGGGTTCCTCTTCCGGGTTTCCTGCTGCCGTCTGGAAACCCGGCGGTTCTGAAACTGGCAACACAGCTGTGTTGTGTTTGTGTTTTTACTAAAACAGTTTGTGTTTTCAGGACTCCAAAATCAAGTTCCCCCTGCCCCACCGGGTCCTGCGGCGCCAACACAAACCTCGCTTCACCACCAAGAGACCAAACACCTTCTTCTAAACACAACTGTTGTTGTTGTTGTTGTTCTGCAGCAAACAATAAATGTTCTGAGAGAAAACAAACATCTGCCTGGTCCTGGTCCTGGTCATGATCTGAACCCCACTCATGATCCTGAACCAGTTCTAAACCAGAAACAGATCTGAAAGAAACAGTCATCTTTAAACCAGTTTAAACTGAATCCAGTGTAAACAGGGTTTATTAATCTGGATCTTTAAACCAGTTTAAACTGAATCCATTGTGAACAGGATTTATTAATCTGGATCTTTAAACCAGTTTAAACTGAATCCATTGTGAACAGGATTTATTAATCTGGATCTTTAAACCAGTTTAAACTGAATCCATTGTGAACAGGATTTATTAATCTGGATCTTTAAACCAGTTTAAACTGAATCCATTGTGAACAGGATTTATTAATCTGGATCTTTAAACCAGTTTAAACTGAATCCATTGTGAACAGGATTTATTAATCTGGATCTTTAAACCAGTTTAAACTGAATCCATTGTGAACAGGATTTATTAATCTGGATCTTTAAACCAGTTTAAACTGAATCCATTGTGAACAGGATTTATTAATCTGGATCTTTAAACCAGTTTAAACTGAATCCATTGTGAACAGGATTTATTAATCTGGATCTTTAAACCAGTGTAAACATGATTTA